GAGAGAGAGAGAGAAAGAGAGAGAGAGAATGATAAATTATGATGAACGGGTTAAATAAATAGTAATTCATAAACGGGATAATAATGGGTCAGAAGAATAAAGATTATTATCACTAATAATGATAATAATTGATGTGAGGAATAAAATTAATAATAATTGACAAAAGGGGCAAAAATTAATATTACTAATACTAATAATAATCGACAAGAGGGAATAATAATTAATACTGATAATAATAATTGGTGAGAGAGATGAAAATTTATATTACTAATACTAATAATCAAGAAGGATAAAAGAAATAATTGAAGAGAGGGATAGAAATTAATATTACTAATAAAGATGATAATTGATGAGAGGGATAATAATTATTATTAATAATAATAATTGGTAAGAGAGAGAAAAAATATATATTACTAATACTAATAATCGTCAATGAGAAGGATAAAAAAATAATAATCAAGAGGGATAAAGATTAATAATAATAATACATAAGAGGGATATAAATTACTATTACTAATACTACTAATAATTGATATAAGGGATAAAAATGAACAATACTAATAAAAATAATAATCAGTAAGAAGAAGGAAAAATAAATACTGTTAATCGTAGTCCATAAGAGGGAGAAAGAATAAATAGAAAGGCCTGAAAATAATAATAATAATAATTATTATTATTATTATTATTGCTATAACAACAACAAAAGCAGTGTTTGTATGATGTAAGCATTTAACAGGCTGTAAAGGTCTGGTCAAAGATGCTGTTGAGTGTCATTATTGGAGGTACAAGTTTCAGTGTTTTGGCATCTTTATGTGCACTATTGTCCCGACAGCTTGTTTTGTTTGCATTATGTAGTTATGCAGCTGAAGATCTTTTTGCAAAACAAAAACAACAAAAAGGTGTCAAATGTTATTAATATTAAGGATGGGAGGGGTCAGGTTTACAGTAACCTCCTTTAAGTTCTGCATTTTAAAGTGTGAGTGTGATTGTTAAGTTAGAAAGGGGATTTTATGATAAATTGCAGTTAATTGAACTGATATAAAGAAATGACTTCCCTCTAGTGTTGGGCTCTGGACTCTGAATCCTAATTTAGTCATTTAAATTCCTCCATATTGTTTAGTCCTTGTAAAGTTGACCTGCTGGGTGCAGTAGAGGAGCACCCACAGCAGAGGGAGCAGCTGCTGTGGGTGAAGTGTTGGCACCAGAGGCACCACAGAGCCACACACAGCTTCTCATCCTCCTTTGTTTTAATCTAGGGGAACTTAAGCAATCATTGATAACTCAACCGAGAAACTCCAAATATTATGTGGGCTCAGTTATGCTCCATTAATGTGAGTGAAGTGGGCAGAAGGAATCACATTCAGCTGCTCAGACGCTTTATTTCTTTCACCACAAGTGAGCAGTTAATTCACAGTCCTTGTTTCCGTTACACTCTTTATTTACTCATTGTCTAAACTTATTGATGTCTTCACCCTCATGAGAGTATCTGATGATGTAACAACCATAGGAAAGTGTACGCCCGACCCTGGAAGCACGCATTTGCACATGCAATGGAATGTGGCCTGCTATTGATTTTCAATGCAGATCCTCAGCTGCTCTCACTGGTTGTGACAAGAACAAGCACAGTCACCCACAACAAGGCTCAATATTTTCTGGATAATGCAGGCACTGAGGTGTAATGCAGGAGGTTTATATTGTTATTACTGATGCTGATGTCACTCTGTGCCTCTAGACAACGCCGCAGCAGAGAGGACAATGTTGCTGGTCAATATCCTACATTAAGAGTATCAGCTCTGTGCAAGGAGCTGACGTCACAGCCGATGAGCGAGCAGCACCTTTTGTCTCTCCTTGCAGTGACAAGGCATGATTGTGAATGTGGCACCGGCCTGCTGAGTGTCGCCCAGACTGGACTGAGGGGCAGCTGACACTCGCTCCAACGAGCAGCTGACCCAAGGAATGGAAACACAATACGACTGCCAGTTCATTGTCCAGAATCAGACTTGTCAAGGCATAGATTTGGTCAGATTTAGTTTGTGTATCATGAAAACAAATGCTGCAAGAAATAGAGCAACTATTACAGTGCACTACGAGTAGTTAGTGACATCTGTGCTTTTCCTACTGTGACAATTCAAAATGTCTGCTGTAACAAAGGTCTAACAAGGCCTAATATTGCCAGTGACGGAGCAAAGTTTTCAGATCGTTTACTTGTGTGAATCAGCAACTACGTATACCACACTGTGAAACTACTCCATGCTTAAGAGTATGAAAGTATGATCAGAAAAAATGTATTTAAAGTTTCAAAAGTAGAAAAATGTCGCATGTGAGTGTTATGCTATTATATTTTATATCATCAGAGTATTATTTTTTGTGCATTAATGTAAAAGCAGGATTTTACTGTTGTAGCTGGTCAAGGTGGAGCTCTTTTGTAACTATTTTGTAAAGGACTGCAACTTATTCTGACTAATCTGCTGGTTGTTTTCTTGATTATTTAACTAATCATTTGGTTTGGAAAAAGTGACAAAATATAGAGATATGTTTTCACAACTACCCAGAGCCCAAAAACAACTTCACAAAGCCTGTGATTTTCAAACAATAGTCCAAACATCAAATTTATTAAAGAATAAATTCAATTAAAGGTCTGGTGGTGATGTTACAGACCTGAAACTCCTTGTGTTTGCCAGGCATGTGGAGCCCCGTTTCCACAAAAAACTTTAGGTTTAGTACCTTTAGAACCGAAAGTAAACCCTAGGGACATGTACCTAGGCCCTGGATTGGTTTAGCATTTCGACAGCAGACTGCAGGTTGTTGTCACTCACGGCTCTGTCCAGCTTTCACTGTGTTTCCTCATCACTGATGATGCATAGGGAAGTCTGCACCTTGTTTATTATCCTCAGAACGCGGTTGCACCCTGAAATTTGAGCGTCTGGTTTTATGGGATATTTGAAAATAAAGGGACTGTGCAGTGAGTCAGGTTCTCAAGCAAGTGCAGGAGTTTAGTCAGTTTTGCCAGAGCACACGGGGGCGACGCTCCACCACATTTTCTGTGAGGATTAGAATGTATGTATTCACATAATCAAGTCAAAATCAATACATATAAGTGTATGTCGTCCAAGAGTGACAACAAAACAAATGAAAAGGTCGAAGTTGTCATGTTGAAATTTAAGGTGTGTTGATGGATTCATGTCATCAACTGATATTTACACGTTTTATACAGCAAGATAATCTTCACAAATGAAACCCGCTTTCATGATTATGGAAGCCTCTGTGCAATCACCAGAAGTAAAAAGCTAGTGTTAGGCTACAAACAAACTACACCACAGTCGCATGACCTAACATCACCAACATAACAAGACTGTAAAGCCGATGTCACAACGACGTTCTGTAGTCTCATTTAGCTATTTGTTAGCAACCACCTTTTTAAAGATGCACAGAAGCTTCAAAGTTTACGAGTGGGGTATTATTCTTTTAACCTTGTGGTAACCACAGGTCTTATTTCAGGCATCTAACCAAAATCACTATTGACTTTGAGATACAAGAACGGTGAGTGTGTTATTGGGTGAGTGAGTGCAGCTATTCTCTCTCATGTTTTTTTTTTTTGTTTAAGATTATTTTTTGGGGGGGTTTGCCTTTATTTTAACAGGACAGCTTCAGTGTGAAAGGGGAAGAGAGCAGGGGGATGACGTGCAGCAAAGGGCCACATGCTGGAATTGAACCCTCATCCACTGCAGCAAGGACACAGCCTTAATACATGGGGCCCTCGCTCTACCAGCAGAGCTACTGGGGGCCCCTGGTAGGCTACTCTCCACTCAGCAGACCATTCTTTCCTGTCAGTTAGGTCGTCTTACATCATTAAAGCCCATTCTAGGTGCGAGACGAGAATCACATGCACCTGCACATGTAGCGTTATTGAGCTGCCAGTCAGTCTATACAAAGTGATTTTCCTCTCTGTTCCATGTATGCAATCATGCAATGTATACACGACAAACTGACATCAACAATAATGTGACTGTGCTCTGACCCTCAGACCGGTGTCCGATGAACTCGCCCTGCAGTGTTGTCATGCGTCTGTCTGTCAGATGCTGTTTCCTCCTCAGGGCTGGCCCAGCAGCAGCAGCAGGAGGACTTTACCTGTAACTGCTCAGTGACCCCCACCCTGTCTCAGAAACTAAGTTTACATATATACATGTTGAAGAGGGGATTTGTGTTGTCTGGCCAGACGTTCTGTGTCACTGACGGCACCTCAGACCCCTTTATTTTTCTTCTTCAGTGGTCCTTAAGTACAATTTTGACACACTTATACTTGAGAATTTCCATTTCATGCAGCTATATGCTTCTACTCTATGTCTTTAGGTTCATTTATTATAACACAGTGTTTCCTCAGGTCACGTTTGGGTCATTTGTAAACTCAAAAGCACAAAATCATGGCCTGTCTATTGCTGAAAAGCTGAAAAGAGTTTATTTCAGCTGACCAGTGGTGAATCTGTGCTCTTTGGGAAAATGGGAGGCTCAATGCAGGATGCTTCAGGCCTTGGTGTCGATTTGCAGACTGTGTATACAAGGCAAAATACTGGGACACCGCCACAAACATGAGGGGAGAGACATGTACAGGATTGTTAGAGGGTTTTAAAATAGAATTGCCTTCAAATATACTCTTAGTGTGTCCTGCAGTATCTCCCTCTCAGCCCTGCTCTAACGTGTTGCCACCTGTGAGTTAACTGGGGCCAGGTGTGCTGCTGCACACAGGTAAAGGGGCATTGCCATTGGGGATTAAAGGACCAGGGAATTGTTTGGTGAGGTTTTTTTTCTTATTTTTTATAATATTGTTTGCCAAAGAGGAAAGGAGAACAGTGGTGGAGACCGGACAGCCTGTGTTGGAAGGTTGGAAAACATCAAACGGCAGCAGTCTACAACACAGAAACACTAAGGTTTTCCTCCAGTTTCAAGTTCATGTGAAAGCAAAAGGTTTCATAACCGCACTGCAGTGCCACGTCAAAGTAAAAAATAACTACGTCAATTATAAATAGGCGAAAGTGTTAGCAGACCCCATCAGGTCTCGTTTTAAAAGGTTTATATGTGAAAACACCCTCAATCACAAGGTTGGCGGTTAAATCTGCCTCCCTCCTGTCCACATGTCAACATATCCTTGACCTAAAGTCAAGGACCTAAAGTGGCTCCCAATGTGCAGGCCATTGTTTTGACAGCTCTGCCACCACTGGTGTATAAATGTGTGTGAATGAGAAGCCAGAGGTAGTGAGCTTTGTCCAGTAAGGTAGAAAGGTGCTGTATAAATGCAGTCCATTAACTTCTTCCACCACTTACCAAAGGTGTGAAGAGTCCCTACAGGATGACAGAAATGCTCTCTTACACTTACACTTTTTACTTTGCCATGAATAACCGCGTTTCTTTTCCATCTTTAACTCTCCAACATTGGAGCCTGAGGTTCCTGAAAGAGTTCAAATCAGACGTCGCCCTGTGCCTCAGATCATTAACCAGAGTAATCAGCTCATACAGGAGATATTTTACACCATAATGCTCTGAGCTGACACTGAGAGGTGTAATCATCCTCCGCAATCTTAACAACTGAAAACAAATGATCCGTCTCTTATGTCGGCTCAACTGTAGCTGAAGGTGTTCAATCTTACACTAATAAATGTTCTTGTCTGCCAGAGAGGTTTGCTGCAAAGATTCATGTCTGCCGTTAGTGTCTGCTTTCGCTTAATCACACAAGCCTACGCAACAATTTAAGGGACGTTTGAGGATATATGGGGTAATGGTGTAAATACTGAGATGGAAATTACATAAACAAACCGTCAGCTTAACGGCAGTTTTCGGTGATGGATGAAACAGAATCATCCCTGCAGTGAAATACCTCATGTGAAGTTTGATATTTGTAGAAACTTTAATGTAGACAAAACAGTACAGAGTGAAATACAAATGTTAATAAAGAACAGGAGGAAGGAATTCTTGTGGTTTGCAAAAGAAGAAATATATAAGTTAGAGCAAAAAAATTTAAGTGAATATACAGAGAATATCATCACAACCACTCAAGAGGGGAGCAAACCTAAAAGGAGCAACACTATTAGTACCACTTGTTTCTGGTAATTATAACCAAATAAAGGATCTAATATCTATGATACACTATTTACAACATGTATATGAAAAGTTATAACAAAGTGAAGCACACAGGACTGAGATTTTCATGTGTTCTTGAAACATACAACATAAAAAGTTAAATTACAAAGGAGACAGTCCGTTATTGGTGTTAACACTGACCGTGTGCTCGTCACGTGACTGACAGTAAAACAATCTGACCCGGTTGGTCCTGGAGGGTAATGTCTTTTTTTAACTCATGGTGATCATCTCATATTTGTCCTTCAGACTGCTGTCCTCGTCGTCCTCGTCTTCCTCCTCCTCTTCCTCCTCCTCAGGGGGCTTCTCGGGCTCCTCGCGGTGGTGGTGCAACTCGATGAACAGGTAGTAGATGACAGCTGCGACCACACCGCCCACCATGGGCCCCGCCACAGGGATCCACCACCAGTATTCTGCAGTGCTGTGAGTACAACAGTATAGAAAGAGTTAAATAAACCTCTGACAGTCACACAGGCAGCCGACATGGAGGCCACTGTGGGTCACTGGTGTCATTGCTGGATCATTCACAAGCATCGACTGCATCTGTTCAGTGCATGTGACGTTATGTAACACTACAGGTCATGTCAGCAGCTTCATCAGTTTACAGGAGGAAGGTTGATTAATTGTAAACAAAATGAGTTACACTGAGCTGAAACTCATCCTGACTAAATTAATTTGTTAATAAAGATCAGATATATTTCTTTAAATAACCAAAATGACATGACAAATATATAAAATATCATCTAATAAAGTTAGAAAAACAAACCAAAAAACATGCCATTGCTGACAATAAAGCAATAATATTAATCTCTGTTCTCTTTTTAAAATAATGATTCGTATAATAGAATATTTGCAATTTTTCTGTAATGTAGCTTGGTTATGAATCATTAGTCCACATCTCATATTTTCAACATGAATCCAAAGGCTAACACAGAAATCATCAAGATTATAGGTAGGAGTACCTGAGTATATTATTATCTGGCACACTTCCTCCCACAGTCCAAAGACATGCAGGTTATGTTAAAGGGACACTTTGCTGATTTTCAACCAGCTCCGTATCAAAACAATGTTGGCAGTATGTGTAAATGAACTGTGGTAAATTTCCCTCCATCTAACCAGTGCCTAGAAATCCCTCCTCACCCCTTTGATGAAACCCCGCCAGATGGTGTAAATTATGTTATCCAGCAGAGTTTTACTGGCTCTCGGGCTGGTGCTCGAGCTACAGGCTGTACTTCTGCATTTTCATATTGCCTGGCACAAATGCCAACACCACGGACACAAAGAGGATAGAAGCAGATCAAGAGACAGACCCGCCCCTCTCTTTGTCAAACTTAGTCCAAAATCCGATCAAATGGTAAAACTAGGCAGTGCTGATCGAATATAAATAAAGATTATGTTGCTATATATACTCCCTATGTCTCACCTAGGTTCATGGAGCCAGACTTTGGTGTCAGTTCTACTGGAACAGACAATAGGGCAGGCTTGGCAAATAACACTTTAACCCATCACATCTTTGTTTCCTGAACTTTGACTGAAAAATCCATCCATCAGATTAAGAAACACACATTATGTGATGTTGACTGATTTTTTTTTATCTAAATATGTGTGTTTGTTTTCCTGGTTATTGGTCTCCAAACAGATGGTGGCAGCTGCATCTCAGCCTCTGCTGCACAGAGCCATGATTTGTATAAATCATAATAAATTATAATAATAAAGATATGATGGGTTATAGTGGGGTCTGCTGTGCCCGCCCCATTGACTCCAGTAAAACTGACACCAAAGTCTGGCTTCTTGAACGCTGTCGCTAACGTCAAGATCTTTCCGTCTTTTATATTTTTTGTTGTTGTAATAGCTGTAACATTGAGAGTTTGTGAACAGGAGGTAAGCACCATACTGTTTCCTGCAGAATGAAAATGAAGGCTGAAACAGTTGAGATCATATGGTATAGCGAGGCAGCGCTGATTAAATATAAACCAAGATTCTGTTACTGAATTATCTATTTCTCACCTTAAATCTTTTCAGAAACATGTTTTAGCTAACTGTTTAGCTGTAATACGAGATTGTTTCCTGCCAGCCAGCCACCATTGTTTTAAGCAGACATGCTTGCATTATGTCACCCACCAGTGGCAGCATTTATTGGTCCATTGCAGCGCAGTGCATTCTGGTAGTCGTAGGTTTTCTCCCTCTTGATCAAAAGTGTCCTTTTTCTCAGTCTTCTCTGGTTCTGTAGCACCAATTTAAATAGTAATTGAGTCTTTCTAGGGCATAGACATCCTAGATATCAGAAACTTGTTTTATTCCAGTGTTCAACTCAAGTTCTAGGTTTTGTTTGTAGTTTCAATTTGTAAGTCACTTTCCTCATGTGTCATGTCTTGTTTTACTTCCTGTGTTTTTCCCACCTGTGTGATTGTTAACTCTGCCCTGATAAGTTTAACCTGTCTCTCATCATCCTGCCGTCCTTGATGTATTTAGTCTGTGTTCCCTCTTCTCTGTGCCATTTTCTTTGTTATCCCCGGTGTCAAGCGTTACAGCCTTTTCCCAGTGTGAGATTTCCGGTTGTTTTGTGTGTTTTTGTGTTTAGGATTTTGCCTTTGTGTCTGACCTCATCTTTGTGATCTTCCTGCTGGATTTGTTTGCCTGTTTTGGACTGACTCACTGCTGCTGAACCCTGCCTGTCTCACTACAGCGAAAGCTTTGTCCCAATTAATCACTGAACTTTTCACTGTCTGGATCTGAGTACTGCTTCCTCTGCTGCCCGTATACACCAGCATAACAAAAATTACTTGGAGTTAACTATATTGGTTGATAAAATTAGTGTATTCCAAAGTTCTTTGTAGTGCTCATTTTCCTGTTTCTCTCTAATAACATTACCTCATGTTATGATTAAGAAATCTAACCAGTTATTCAGTATTGGCACATTTGAACATACAGAACAGTTGTCCATATTAGATCAACCCAGGTACATCAGAAAAATCACTAACATAAGGCTGTTTTGTTGGATACAGTTACCTGAAGACCTCCATCCCCCATCCAGCTACAGCTGTGAACAGTCGGGGTCCCAGGTCTCTGGCAGGGTTCAGGGGGTATCCACAGTTCAGTCCCATGGAAACGCCGATGGCCATGATGATCAGACCTATAGCCAGCGGCTCCACGCCTTTGGGAGCTCCAATGTTTCCACCATCAATGATAGCCAGGATACACAGCACCAGCATACCTGTCCCCACCACCTGCAGGAGAGGAACGCCAATTGTTTGGTAAACTGCAGAGCAGAGGCGTGGGCTTGAGTCACAAATCTGATGACTTTTGACTTGAATCAACAAAACAAAGAAGAAATGAAACCTAATTTGGGATACCAATGACTCGTGACTTCACTGGGACTTGAGCCTTTTGACTTGAAAATACCTTCCCCCAAGCCTAAAGATTAAAAGTATCATCTAAATACCATGAGTGTGCCACGAATCAGTTCATTTCCTGAATCAACTACTGTTACTGTTAGTGCTTTTCATTCCCAGCAAGCTGAAACTTAATTTTCCAGAGCCACTTAGAATCCATTCAACAGCACCCAGTGAAGTCGCAGGAGAGAAAAACTACTTAGTGGTCACAAAAACAAATTGCAGTATACAAAATTACAGACAGAGACAACTTCCAACAAACTACAAATTTTAAAAAAATATTTCATGATTTTTGTAAATTGATTTTATATTATTACACAATTTTTGGCATTAACTTTAGTGAAAAGGGCATTATGACTTGTTTAAGACTCAAAACAAAGTTCAGGACTTAGAACTTGACTTGGGACTTGAGTGCAAGTCTTGAGACTTCCTTGTGACTTGCAAAACAGTAATTTGGTCCCACCTCTGGTGCAGAGTTAAGGCAGGTATGAGATCAACACTGCACTAGTATTTTATCTAGTTATGTTTTTCTTTGCTTGAGGCCTCTGTATAAGCTTTTAACTTCCTACTACAGGTTTTCTTTATTTAATTTTACATTCATCTATATCAGAGATATGTAGGTAAAAAAGTGTCTGTATATATGTAAATGTCAGTGTGTGCATATCATATCTTTAACAATAATCATTTTTAATTTAATTAATTGTATATACTTTATTAATCCCTGAGGGGAAATAATGATGATAAATGACCCGGTTGGTCCTGGAGGGTAATGATAATGATAAATAAATGAATAAAATAATGACAAAATATATAGAGTTAATCCATAAAGTGGTCAGGTTGTACTGGGTACAATAAAATCACATTCCAGACACATATGATTCCAAAATATAATGTGATTTATTAGCTTTTATCAACTTATCTAATAAGATAACGTTTGCAGTCTGTTCATCTCACCTCGGCCATTTTTTGTTTTGAAGCGCAACATATCTAGTGGACTGAAAAAGCTATTAATTTTATCATTCTAGTAGGCTACCTAAAGTTTAATTTGTATTTGTAATATATAATTAAAAAAGTTTGCACTGTGTGACGATACGATATTGCCACACAAAAATAGCACGATACTATGCCGTATCAATTTTTACCCCCACCCCTAGTATATGTATATTTAATTTCATGCTTTCCATCATGAGGTTTTTCTTACAATCTCTTTCCAACAAATGTATGTTCAGAATAAAAGACTGTCCAACTTACTTAATATAGAAGTCCATGGTATAGGTTGGCAGTCTGAAAAGCATCCAAGGCACTCTGATCATAAATAAAAATCCTTTCCTATCCATGTATTGATAAAGGATTTTTATTCACAATTCACAATCAGAATGCCTTGGATGCTTTTTAGACTGCCAATCTATACCATGGACTTTAAATACAGTAAGCTGAACAGTCATTGTCTTTTATTATTTTTCAACTCCTTACTCAATCTTTGAAGAGCACCTGATTTATTTTATTTTATTTTATTTTATAGATATTTTTATGGGCATTTTTTGCCTTTAATTGATAGGATAGTGAAGTGTGAAAAGGGGAGAGAGAGAGGGAGAGACATGCAGCAAAGGGCCACAGGCTGGAGTCGAACCCGGGCCACTGCGGCAACAGCCTTGTACATGGGGAGCCTGCTCTACCACTAAGCCACCAATGCCCCTTATTTTATTTTTTTTTTACTATAACCAACACCTAGTTACTTGACCCAGAAAAGCACTCCCTGTTTTTTCTTCAAACATATATAATACCTTGATGTATAAGATACAGTATGCTATCCTTGGATAGTATATATGAATCCTAATAAATTTGTAATGTAGTTAATAATTAATACAGTTGTAATCTAGTAATCAAGTTTAATCTTAATGGCTCAAATCTAGGTTTAAATGATTTAGTATTCAGGGAGCACACCCTGTGCAGCACCACTGTTACACAGATAAACGAAACATCGTCATGAGCACAATCACTCTGATTAGACTGATCTTAGTGGTCCACCTGATGTGATTTTCAACAGTTTTAAACTGGTCGACGTGTTATTTTTGCATCACCGCACCGACTAAAAAGGCGGAAAATGGTGTTAAGTATAGATTTGACCTTCCTGTGAATGCCAGGAAATGGGTCATTAGACCCAAAACTGAGGCAAGAGAGGGGGTGTTCTCAGACTAAATGGGCCAATCAATTTTGCATTAGCCACATTTGCCAGACTTCACAGAATTTAGAGCCTGAATGGGAGCGGCGATGCACAAACAGAGGGGGGAGGTCATTGGGTCAAAGCGGCCGGAGCTCACCTGATCGATGAAGCCGCCGAGGATTGACAGGTGTCTCGCTGGGTAGGAAGCAAAAATGTGACCTGTTGCATTGATTCCCGTCACTGACAGAATCCCACTGGTGAAGTCCATGAAGGCATCTGTGAGGAGGACGAATATAGACGGTTGTAACTGTGTGTTTACTGTGACAGATGAATGATGACAGTCATTACCAACTGTTATGGTTTAATGTGAATGTGTGAGGGAATATAGCAGAGGTGTATTCACCATAGTATAACCCAAAGACTGCAGCAGCTCCAGCAAAAGCACCAAGAAACTGAGCGATGACGTAGAAGGGAAACTTCCAGATCTTCAGTTTGCCCAGAATCACCATGGCCAGAGACACAGCAGGGTTCACATGGCCCCCTGGGATGGAAGACAAAGCAGAGAGTGAATGAGGGGTGCAGTGGGTGGGGGGCGTCTGGCATGATATCCTCTCCATCATTAGTGAGGCCGTCACATTTACGAGGGGCAGCAGAAGGGGAGCAGCCCCCGAGGCGGTGCAGGGTTTTGTTATATATGCTCACGAGCTAAAGAAGCAGAATAATGACAACATATTAGAAATTCAACCTATAAGTCAAAAACAAAACAAAAGGGAGCATTATTCAGTTCCTTTTTTAATCAAGCTGTGCTCACATCCTGCTGCTTTTTTAATTCTTGAAAAACATCTGTCTTCATGAATCTGTTTCCTGCTTTTGATGTAAAACTGGAGGTAGCTGCTGCTCAGATGAGGCGAGCACTTGTTTGGACTGAACAAGATGAACGTAGCGTATGATCAATGGAGTTTGCAGGACATTCAGCGCCCAGGGTTATGTATGACCCCAGAAAGACTGTGCACTAGCACTGACAAATCAATGGTCAGTGCACATTCATTGGATCTGGACAGAGAGCTGGCACGTTCCTGCTGAGCCGTGGAGGTGGCACATGGCTGGACAGGAAGTCATAAAGTTATATTATTACAAGCCTCATGAGTAACAGTTCTTTCATTACAGCACATGCAAGTGAGCTTTGTCAGACTGTTTATATGTTCTGGGACAGGTTGTTTGTATTGACGATGAATTAGTTTTATGCAGTCTGTGGCGCTAAACAGCTGAATATGCAAACAACAAACTTTATTATTTAAGATAATTGTTTATTTGACTGCATACCAGTACCCACCAGAGTAGGAATTTGATCTCATCAACATCAATTCGGTTAAAGTCACTTTAATTTCATGCTTTTTAAGATCTTTTAAAGATAATTTTACCAAATTTTAGACAGTTTTTTTGGGCAATCCCATTCAGAGGTAGGTTTTATGTTAGAATATGGGAAATGTGGACTTTCTCGCAGAAGAGCTCTACTCATTTAGACAAAAAGAAATTAAAAGATGGATAAATGAAATTAGATAAAATGTTTGTGGCAATTAAGACCTCACAAATTCAAATTTAAGACTATTAAATGAGGGTCTAATATGTATGAAATTGACACTTTAAGGCTTTTAAGGACCTGCACAGACCCTGCAGGGCTGTACTGCAAGTTCATTAAATTCAGTGTACCAAATCAAACTAGTGGATTGTGGCAGCTCATGTGAAACAAGCTCTACTTTGGTGCAAATTAACAGTTAGGCGCAAAACTTCCACCACATTTACCTGACACTCCACCAGCCACGTATGCTGCCATCATGAGTCCCACGGAGAAGCCGATGTGGACGGTGAGAGGCTCGCCCAGCGTGTTTCGACTGAGGACGGTCTGTGCAACTGAGCCGCAGCCAAACAGCTGATAAACAGGAGAGGAAGAAGAGAGCAGATTGAGCATCATAAAGGGACAAGATGATTTCTGAACATATGCTCGAGCAGCCTGGAGCTCAACACTTAACAGATAGCAGCATATAAACAAGCAGTGGTGGAATGTAACTAAGTACATTTACTCAACTACTTAAGGACAAATTTTACTTTTACTTTATTTGAGTATATTAATTTGATGCCACTTTCTATCTCTGCTTCACCACACTTCAGAGGGAAATACTGTACTTGTTACTCACTTCTACAATTATTTGATAACTTAAATTGACAAATTAAGATTTTTACACACAAACCAAAAATATTAAAAAACACAAATACAGCTGAGACAATTAGTTGAATAATTAGAAAATTAATTGGCAACTATTTTGATAATCATTTGTCATTTTTCATTCAAACATTTCATGGTTCCAGCTTCTCAAATGCTGCTTTGGTGCTTTTTCCTTTAATTGTTTTGATCGATTTAAATTTTTCTTTTAATACTTAAACACATTTTTCTGATTGTACTTACATACTTTGACTTCAGTAACATTGTCAATGCAGGACTTTTAGTAGTAACAGAGTATTATTACAGTGTAGTAATAGTACTTTTACTTAAGTAAAAGATCTGAATACTTCCTCTACCACTGTGAACAAGATCTCAGACTTCTAATACAAACATATTTTGATTTCCTAACTGAGAAAAACACACTTAAATAAAACAAAATGTTACTTACAACCAAGACAAAAGTCCCCAGGAATTCTGCCAGGAATTCCTTGAGTATTCCATGTTTGAGAGCACAGTGTTTCCTCATGCTTCTCTTGTGTTGTATTTCCATGTATCTCCGTGCCAACTGCAGTAAAATCTACCAGATGTCCAGCAGTGTGAACCTCTGGAGTCGTCAAATCTCCACCTCTACCCGACCGCAGCCATTCAGCACAGGCCATTGATCCGTTTCTGAAACCATCACACTTATCAGGCCTCTCATCCAGTTTCACAAGGTATGATTTGTGCTGTGTCTCCATCAAACGTATGTCTGATTTTTTTTAATTTGTGTGTGTCGTCACAGGACACCTGGATTTATGTCTTACAGGTATGCAGGATTTTTAAAAAAAAACCATACAATGTATACATTCATACAGAAGTAATCCCTCTCAATCATCGCTTAAGACCCACTGGAAGAGTGTGGTGGTGTATTTTTCTGACTCTGCTTTCTGTATTTTCTTATTTTTTTCTTATTATCTGTGTGTGGGACATTTATGGGCGTGTTCCCCACAGCACTCAGGTGAGGTCAGGATTTTATAAAAAGGTAGCGACGAGGTGCCAGACCATATGGCAGCAGGTATCCAGGAGACACATCACCGAAAAAAACACAAATATAGTGAAGCAATCGAGTGACTCTGGGGTTGGCTTTTACTCTCATCTTCACTGGTAACCAACAGTAACCAACAGTCCTCCATAGTATACCTTTAAAGAGTTTCTGGAGGTGTACACTCACCGGCCACTTTATTAGGTACACCTTGCTACTACTGGCTTGGACCCCCTTTGCCTCCAGAACTGCCTTAATTCTTTGTGTCATAGATTCAACAAGGAGCTGGAAACATTCCTCAGAGATTTTGGTCCATATTGACATGATAGCATCACACAGTTGCTGCAGATTTGTCAGCTGCACATCCATGATGCAAATCTCCCGTTCCACCACATCCCAAAGGTGCTCTATTGGATTGAGATCTGGTGAATGTGGAGGCCATTGGAGTACAGTGAACTCATTGTCATGTTCAAGAAAGCAGTTTGAGATGATTTGAGGTTTGTGACGTGGTGCGTTATCCTGCTGGAAGTAGCCATCAGAAGATGGGTACACTGTGGTCATAAAGGGATGGACACGGTCAGCAACAATACTCAGGTAGGCTGTGGTGTTTAAACCATACTCAGTTGGTACTAAGGGGCCCAAAGTGTGCCAAGAAAATCTCCCCCACACCATTACACCACCACCACCAGCCTGAACTGTTGATACAAGGCAGGATGGATCCATGCTTTCATGTTGTTACACCAAATTCTGACCCTACCATCTGAATGTCGCAGCAGAAATCCAGACTCATCAGACCAGGCAACATTTTTACAATCATCTTTTGTCCAGTTTTGGTGAGCCTGTGTGAACTGTAGCCCCAGTTTCCTGTTGTTAGCTGACAGGAGTGGCACCTGGTGTGGTCTTCTGCTGCTGTAGCCCATCTGCTTCAAGGTTGGACGTGTTGTTGGTTCAGAGATGGTCTTCTGCAGACCTTGGTTGTAACCAGTTGTTATTTGAGTTACTGTCGCCTTTCTATCATCTTGAACCAGTCTGGCCATTCTCCTCTGACCTCTGGCATCAACAAGGCATTTTAACCCAGAGAACTGCCGCTCACTGGATATTTTCTCTTTTTCAGACCATCCTCTGTAAACCCTAGAGATGGTTGTGTGTGAAAATCCCAGTAGATCAGCAGTTTCTGAAATACTCAGACCAGCCCGTCTGGCACCAACCATGCCGCATTCAAAGTTACTTTAATCACCTTTCTTCCCCATTCTGATGCCTGGCTTGAACTCTAGCAGGTTGTCTTGACCATGTCTACATGCCTAAATGCATTGAGTTGCTGCCACGTGATTGGCTGATTAGCTATTTACACTAACAAGCAGGTGAACAGGTGTACCTAATAAAGTGGCAGGTGAGTGTATAATTATGAGTGAATGTTGAAAACATATCTTACACACATTTATTCATTCGTTTAAAATTTGCATGCTGCATGTTAATTCACACAGCAAAGGAATAACTTAGGGAGCACATTAATCCATCTGAGCTCAGGTAAATGGATCAGTTTTTCTGTTGCATTGTAAAACATCAGTTTGTAGTTATTCATGTTGCCACAAGAGGTCAGTCTTGGCAAGGTGCCACACCATTCACAACTGGAAACATCATGAAGTCACACCTGAGTTTGTTAATGGAATTATGTTGAATTATGATATGAAGGCTTCTTCACAGTGAGTCCAACATTTCTTGATAAAGTCCAGAAATTATTGTTGGACAGCGTTTTGTTTGTCAGTCAATCAGATCCTAAGTCATCCACGTCATTCAGGCTGTCCTCCATAGACTTAATGAGAGGAGGTGATTTCCTTTTACGCCTGTTGATGTCAAAAAATAAAATGACTTTGGTTAAAGAATAACATGATTTTATGTAAGACCGTAAATTAAACACAGAAACTCAGTGGCAGAAGGCGAGTGGTCACCTCATCTCGTTCCGCAGTGAGCTCAGTTGGCCATGAAGCTGCTCGTTGGCCTCGATCTGCTCGTCCAGTTCTCTCTGCAGCTTCTTCTTAGCGTGTTCCAGGCGCTCGATCTCCTCCTCTGCCTCGTCCATCTGCCTCTTCGCCGTCTTCAGCCTCTGAGTCAGCTGCAGAGTTCACAAAAGTGAGATTAATGAGTCACAAGTCTGCAGCTCCTGACTGCTTGATAGCTTTTTCTTTGTGGTTAAAGTCTACCTGGTCTCTCTGGCTCTGCAGGTTGATGTGTTCCTCGTCAGTCTGCATCTTCATCTCCTTCACTTTACGCTCCAGCTTGCGGTTCGCTTGTTGCAGGCTGTTGTTGTCTCTGAGAGCAAAGAGCATCAAATGATCACATGGCTGCTGCAGCTTCCTGTAACTCAACACCTTCCTAGTGTGTTTCGGACCACAGATACTCTCACTCTTACAACCACAGGGAAAGTGATATGGGTGGGTTCACTGCTCGGGAGCTACCATCAAGTATCTGATGGACCATTATCCCTGCGCTGGGAAATACATTCATATACATTTATTTTTGTTGAGAGCTATAAGGTCATTATCTTATATGCAGGCGCTCACTTCTCTTCTCCTTGTAGCCTTTCCTCTAGTTCCTGGATGCGGGTGTTCAGTTTGGAGACGAGTGAATCCTGGTTGGTCCTCTGTGATCCTTCCAGATGAGTCACTCTGCTCTTCAGGTCTTTGTTCTGACAGAGGAAATGAAACAGAAGAATGTCATAAATAAAGGGAAATTTAAAGGTATCCTAGGGAGTTTTTCACCACTAATCGTGCTATGGAGCAATGTTAAAGAGCAGGAGGACACACTGCATGCACACAAGCAGGTGGACAGTCAGCCCAATCACCAGAAAAAATGTTGTATGTAATTTCAAGTTTCTTTATGTTTCAACAATTCTGTGGTCAGGTTCAGGCACAAAATCACTTGGTTTTGGTTAGGGAAAGATCATGTTTTATCTTAAAATAACCAGTGTGGGGGACAATCCTGGCAGGAAAAGCAGCAATGTCACAGTGAAAAACACCTGCTTTTCACAGCACTTACCCTGCTGAAAAAAAGCAAAACACCAACTTTTGGGGGATAAGAAGCTGCAGAAAAAAGAGCCACGGTCGCTAAAAAAACACCCACTTTTTAGGGATTGAATAGCCTCTGGAAAAACAGCTACATGTCGAAAAAGACACCTACACATCTGGGCTTAAAAGCCTCAGGAAAATGAGCGACAGGTCTCTAAACACACCAAGGGGCACTAAGAAACACCACTTTTATGAGTCGATAAAAAATACCCACATTTGAAGGCTGAAAAGCCTCTAGAAAAACAGCTACAGGTCCAAAAAGACACCTACATTTCTGTAGTAAAAAGCCTCAGGAAAATGAGCGACAGGTCCCTAAAAAACAGCAACGGGTCACTTAAAAAACACCCACACTTCGGGGAAAAGAAGCCACAGGAAAAAGAGCCATGTGGTGCTAAAAATACTGACACTTGAGAGCCGAAAAGCCTCTAGAAAAACATCTACAGGTCCATAAAGACACCTACATTTCTGTAGTAAAAAGCCTCAGGAAAATTAGCAACAGGTCCCTAAAAACAGCAACAGGTCACTAAAAAACACCCACATTTGGGGGAAAAGAAGCCACAGGAAAAAGGGCAACGAGTCACTAAAAAACACCCACATTTGAGGGCTGAAAAGCCTATCAAAAAACAGCTACAGGTCTGAAAAGATACCTACATTTCTTTGCTAAAAAGCCTCAGGAAAATAAGCGACAGGTCCCTAAAAAACAGCAACGGGTCTGGCTGAAGAGCTGCTGGAAAAACAGTGATGGGTCTCTAAAAACAACCAGTTTTGTTGTTTGTTGGTCTTGAACAGTGGTCTGCAGTTTGGCAGGCATCTTGTCTAGGTCAGCTCATATGCTACGTCACTTTAAAAACATTGATATGATACATATGAAACCTGCAAATATGGACTGGGTTAGTGTGATACACTGTCCACCCAATGGTTTCACGCTATCCCACTGATCTACTGTGCAGGTAAGGGCAGGAAAGAAGGAAACTGCTAGCAGGTAAAAATGGATGTGAATGATGCAGGTTTCATTCTCAAAATCATTGCAAGAAGAATAAAATGCCTTCATGTTTGTTGAAGTTCAAGGACATACACACTAGGCTTTGGCAAGAGACATTGAATGCAAACAGAAACTTTGTTTATTTATGAGAAAACCCTGCCAGACTCCTTTAAGTAGGTTTACACTAGCATCTCAGCAGAGAGGGTTCAGTACCTGTCTCTCCAGGCTCATCTTGTCACACTCCAGGTCCTGCCTGACTGCTCTCTCCTGCATCAGCTCGCTCCTCATCTGATCCATCTGTGACATGCAGAGAGAAACACAGCTTTTAGCATTCAGTAGTGGTGGCAAGTAAAAAAGTTTGTTTTTTCAAGTCTGGTATTTCAGTATAATTTTGAGATAGTTGTACTGCAATAGTAATATAGGTGTGGCAAGATGTTCAGTGGTTAGTATTGCAAGAGGGTTCCTGCTTCGAACCCAGGGTGGGGGAGCCCTTCTGTGTGGAGTTTGCATGTTGACCCTGTGTCAGCGTGGGTTTTCTCCAGGTGCTCCAGCTTCCTCCCACAGTCCAAAGACATGCAGGTTAATTGGTGACTCTCAACTGGCCGTAGGTGTGAATGTGAGTGTGAATGTTTGTCTGCCTCTATGTGTCAGCCCTGTGATAGTCTGGTGACCTGTCCAGGGTGTACCCGGCCTCTTGTCCAATCTGAGCTTGGATACGCTCCAGCCATCCTGCGACCCCCAACAGGATAAGCACTTACAGAAAATGTACTTTCCCTGAGTATTTGCATTTTATGCCAGATAAACTACTATTCCACTACATTCTTTTGACAGCTGTAGTGACCAGTTACTGAAAAGATATAATTTTACCCAAAAGAGAAATCAATTCAACGCATTCTTTTGTCTCGTGACCTCTTACAAAAAAAGCCTAGTTCAAGCCTGTTGTCATGTTTCACATGTGTATGAGTTTTTAGCACTTCTACCAGAGAGACATTTTCCATCTAAACTCTCACACGGTTAAATTAAATAACTTTATGAATCAAGAAAGAAATCAGTCAAAAGTCCAAAATATAAAAAAGTGGGAACCAGAACTTCTATGCTCTTATTGGGGTGGGCAGTTGGGGGGAGCAGAAAATTTATGTTTCCTAATATAAATCAAGGCTGCAGTATAGGTCATAAAGCCCATCCACTCGGTGTTAGTGAATGTTACTTTATTAATATCCCCCAGCCCCAAAAAATTCTACACCTAATGCATATACTTATATATGTAAGTAGTTAAAGGTAGGTCCAGCTCAGCCACCTACAACAACAAAAAATGTGCTACACACTGCTGCACCTGTATTATTACTACTGTACTGTACTACCATACTAATACTGCATTAATACTAATACTTCTGTACTTTTACTCAAGTAGTATTTGTCATGAAGATCTTTACATAAAATGAACTGTTCTTGCACTGCTGTATTTGTATTGTGTTGGTAATGGATCCATTACTTCCACCACTAACATTCAGTCACACTAGATAGTATAACCTAAATGTGTAGTAAGTTAGCAAGGGTAAAACATGTGGGCACTAATTCTTTATGACAATTTATGACCAGTTTTATATGGGCTTCACTTTCTATGTTCTTCCTTCCATACTGACTGAAACCACTCATTAAAAAGAGCAGTACCTCCTGAAAAGCACTTTCAGGTGAAACTAAAAGTTCCCAGCTTAATTCCTAAAATAAGAGGAAATGCAGTCTGGTCTGAGCAGCCACATCAGATCTAAAGGCTCTCTTCTCTCTAATAACATCCAGAGGCCCAGTGAAGGGAGTGTGAATAGCTGCTCACAATAGTTTGCTGTTTTTTGTCTTTGTACCATGTTTTGTGTCAATTAGTCTGCAGCGCTTTGCTCCCATGAATGGTGGCCTACTTTACGGGGAGCACTGAGGACGTGAGGCTCTTATGACGACATCAGCGATGAAGAAACATGTATGAAGTCAGCGCGGTTCAGTCGTGTTTCAGGGCTGTTACAAAGCAAACGTTAGGAAACAAAGCAAAAAGTGTCTGAGGGGAAATCTGAGTACTCAGCCCTACATCTGTTTATAATCAAAACAGACGGAGGGCTGGGTGCTCAAACTGAAGCCGGAGCGTAAAGGTTGTCTCTTCACAGTTGGGGGAATCTATCAATGTTAGCAAACACAAAATGAGAGGGAGGGAGTGAACCTGCCTGCTCTTTGGTTTTGTCTAACCGCTCCATCAGGCGGTCGGCACTGCTGCGCTCATCATTAACATCTTCTTGTAGCTGGCTGATGCGTCCCTGAGAGGAGAGGAGCACATGAAAACCATCATGAAGTTAATATATATTGCATCACACTGTAATGTTTACAAGTACAGAGGACATGATGAATCTATCTCCTGAGGCTGTGCTTAGAAAACTGTCTCAGATTTTTAAAAGGGTATTGGGTAATAACACATGAAGAAAGCTGCGGAATAAATGCAGTACCACAAACACAATAAGTAAAGATTTTGTACATGTGTTCAATGCTGAATGAGAGTTGGCGAAGGAGTGAAAGAAGATTCCTGAGAACACCCAGACAGGTCTGATAACTTTGTACAGTAAACATGAGTTTCCTCAGTCGATATGCAGTGTCAACAGTGATCGCACTGGTGTCACCGTGTGATGTTGTGTCATCAGCAAGACAAACAGTGCTGAGCTGTCAGATGTTGCTATGGCTCTTTTCAGCACCCTTATAGTTCACAGGAACAAGTGAGAGCAAATACTGGCTACTGACAGATAAACACTTCAAAACATGTGATAAGCTGAAACATATTCGACCGTGTGCTCTGATGAGAGTGAGCTCAGTTTGTAATTTTAGGTCCAGATGATCATTAGTTTAGAGCTGCAGCTTTTTAGCAAACATGTATACAGTTTATCATTATTACAGAGAACATTGCTGTTGTCATCCAAACACCTCATAACTCCTCTTATGTTTAAAGTGTAACCAAAGGATGAGATGTACTGTTTATGTGTCAAAATCCTCCAGAACATCATGTACGAATGTGATGTTAAATAAACAAGCTTGTTTTGTTTTTCATAAATGAGAAATTCTTTGCAGGTGCTGAGTCACAATGATCTGCACAAAAAGACAGTCTGACCCAAGAGAAGACACTGTAGTCAAAATATTGTCCAGTATTTCCACAGTAAAATAAGACATGGGAATCAAGGAGCAGAAACTGAGTAATCTCTCTTCTTTTTCACAAATAAGCCACAATTGATTCATGTTTATGTTGATGCAAATGTCATTTATTTTCTACACCCTGCAATGTGACAAACTATAACTATTATTTGAATCTTGAATGAATGTTTATCCTGTGACAGCATCTTAATGGGGCACGCCACCAAATTTTACACATTTGTTTTACTGGTCGTAAGTGGTGCTACTCAGCCTGTAGCCCCTTTTAGACAGAGCTCAATACTGCCGCAACAAAGACTCTTCGTTACACCAACTTTGATTTTTTAAACTGAATCAAACTCATTATAATGCTGCCCCAGTGTGTGATGTTAGATAGCAAAAGAGGCGTGGCAGGCGTGACATGTAACACAACAGCATTGGCCTCTAGTGTGACATATAACATACACACTGTCAGCGCTTAGAAAACCATTATGATGGCATAACATGGCAATAACAATAATCTACCATCCCTGTTACATGATGGTTGATCTCACCCTCTGCTCTGAGGGTAAGGAGCTCCCGAACCTCACTGTCTCCCTGGTGTGCGGACATGTTTGGTTGCTGTTTTTCTTCTTTGAGTTAGCTGCTAACTGCTAACTGCTGTTTGTTTAATCTCCTATTGGTAGGTTGAAAACATCGTCAAAATGGTATACCCGCACCATCCTGCCTGCTCACATGTTTACACAGATGTCTATTTTGCTCTGTTGCTACCTCTGCTGCCAGCTCAGAGGTGGAACAACTCTGTTACCCCCTCATTCCATGTTTGCACCTTTTATGCTAAACAGCAACATGGAATAAGGGCGCAAAACTATAAAAAGGGGATTGTGCTATATAATGTCTTGAAGACCACATATGTATAACCTTTAATTGCAAAATTGGCCAGTCAGAGAAGGTCTAATGAAATATGAAATTTAGGATGTTGGTGAAGATTCTCAGTCATTCAGGTCATGGTTATCTTCCTCTCTCATCCAAGAGACTTCTTTTGTCCATAACTCAGAACTAAAGAAGCCTCTTGGGTAAGCGGTGAAACAACTTCAAGAAACTTAAGAAGCACTTAAGAAATTTAGGATCCACTGGATCAGTGGCAATCCTAGATTCTGTGGGGCCCCGGGCAAAGAAACCCCCCAAGGTCCTGTCCTAACTAACATTATCCAGCTGTCATATGGTAGCTGGGGTTTTGGGGCAGTGGCAGTGCACTGTATAGGCCTTAATGGGAGCTTTTAGGGGGTTTATAGTTGTCATTGTAAAATATGCTAATATTAGTGGCCACCGGGGGCCCCTTTTCCCAATTTTTTTTGAGGGGCCCCAAACATTTGTCTGGTTTGCCTCGCCTGGCGGTGTATGTACCCCTTGGATCCAGTGTTTTGACCCATTTTGTACCCATACTAGAGAATAAATATCAGATCATTGTGTTCTCTGCTGAATCCTTTTGGACCATTCTGTTCCTATGTTGAGGCCGCTGAGACATTCACCTCCATGAGTTTGACCTGCCGCTCACGCTCTCCCATCGTGGTTGCATTCCTCTCCTCCAGCTCCTCCACCTTCTGCTCCAGCTGCCGGCCCCTCAGCTGGGCCTCCTGCTGCTCCCTGCGACACCGCCGCAGATCCTCCTCCAGAGGAAGCAGCTGAACACATAACAGACGACAGAGCAAGCACACACTCTAAGATAAGGTAACATGCAATGTCTGTTGTTGGGTAATGGTCAGTTAGCTAAACACATATGCAGAATTATTAGGCGGCTCTTTATGTTTCTATTGAATCTCGCTCTGAACACTTAATCAGAAGAAAAACACTGAAACAAAGCGACATAACTCCTTTCCCTTCCTGCTGTTGACTTTTCATTTTATTTTATTGGTGACTCAGACAGTTGAACCCACATGCTGATGAATCAGTGAGACAATGAGCACCACACCTCTTCCTGAAGTTTTTTGGCTGCCAGTCGGGATTTCTCCAGCTCTGCTCCCTTTTCCTGCAGCTGTCTCCGTAGCTCGTCCAACTCCCTCTGACTCCTCTCTCTGGCCTCGTCGACCTGGTTCTGAAGTACATCTGTGGACGCCTCGCACTCCTCCATGATGCTATTCATCTTAGATAAACAAAGAGTGTCTTCAGTGAGATAAGTGGACCTATTTGGGTATATGGACAATACAAGTACAAGAAATACCAGCTGTTTCTGCTGATCTCATGTGGCCGCAGGGTTAAGATAACAAAGTTCCAGTTCTCATTTGGCTCCTGAATTTTCCCATAGGGCCCAATAAATAGTCCAGGTCTACCTCTCACCTTCCTCTGCAGCTGCTCCACAGTCCTGTCCTGCAGAATCCTCTCATCCTCCAGCTCAGTTTTTGTCTTCCACAGCTCCTCTATTTGTCTCCTCTCCTCCTTGAGCTTCTCCTTCAGGTCCCTGTGCTCATGATTGAGCTTGGTCAACTTACTCTGGGAAGAAAACAAACAAAGGAAACTGGAGACTGTGAGCTGTCGAGCATAGCGAAAAGGCATTTCACGGTGTAGAGAGGCAACAAATGTGAAGAGAGAAGGGATGGCATGGAACAAACTGCATGGCAGTTACATGGTATGCATCTCATAAAGCTGTTTCTCTACAGCTAAAAGCAACCTGGCATTACCTGCACGTCCTCCAGGCGAGTGAGCAGTGACTGGTTAGACTGACACATCTCCTCCTCATTCCTCCTCACATCCCTCAGCGCCTCCTCAACTTGATGCTTTTCCCTCTGAGGAACAAAGAAATAAAGAGATATGCATAGAGAACAATTATTTTGAAGTTTACTATTTCATTATCTCAAGAAAACAAGCTTTGTTATCTCAAAATAATGAGATAATCAACCTGTTTTTAGGGTTAAACAAAAGGTTGTTTTATCTTATCTCGATAAAAATTAGCTTTGTTATCTCGAGATAACAACATAATTACAAAAAGGTCCATCAAAAATCAGAGGTACCATGCCAGCATGCACAGATAGCATCCTGATAAAGGTAGCAACTGATTAAAGCTGAAAATGTCAATTCAAGGAGTACCTATTATTGGTATTATTGATCGTGTCATGATCCTGGGATTGTTTATATTCTGTTATGCTATGGACTTTGTTTTGGAGTTTGCTTCCTGTTTTATTTTGTAGATTCTCTCCTCATGTGTCTGGTTTTACTTCCTGTCTCTGTGTGTTTTCCGGCCTGTTTCCTGTCACACCTGTCTCGTTAGTCCTTCCCTGTTCCCAGAGTCTTCCCCTCACACCTGCTCTGCATTAGTCTTGTCTGCTCCACCCTTGTTGTTAGCCAATCTCCATTTCCCTCCTTTTGCCCATGTCTTCCTGCTCCAGCTGTGTCTCATTCTTGCGATTAGTTTTCTGTATATATATATATATACACCTGTGTGTTCCCTTTTGTCATTGGTCTGTGTTACTCCAGGGTGCATTCTGTGGTCGTTCCTGCATTCAGCCCTGCGTTATTCCTGTATTCATCCTTGTTCAGTTCCTGGTTGGTTTTCAGTTTGGTTTTTGTTCTGCTTTTGTTTGGACTTTAAGTTGCCTTCCTGTACTGGATGTTTTCAATCGGTTACATTACAGCTAGCTTTTTGTTAGAAACTCAGACTTTCTGTTGGTCTGCATTTGGGTCCTCCTCTGAACTGACAAGTGAGAGCCCAACACACTTTTGGTGACTTTCATTGCCAGGCTCCCTTGATGCTCCTGTGATGCACTTGGGCACAGGGTGGGATCAGATAGAATGCATTGTTGGTGGATGCATTTCAGGCTGTGACAGTCATGGCTTATCATATTCACTACTGCAGCGACTGCAAGAAACAAACTAAAAGTCACTGAGAGGCTGAGGCTGGGCCCGATAAACTTGTCTGACACGCCTACAGAAGACTTGCTGAGATCCAAAAAATGCGTTAAATAAATGTATTAATGAAAAAAAAAAATCAACTTATCATAACCTGGACAAACTTATAAACGAAATGATCACAGCAGACGAAGAAAAATGCAGTCAACAAAAACTACGGCGACCCACTCACCTTCTCTCTCGGACCAAAAAAAAAAACAAAAAAAAAACACATGAGGATCAAATGCTCGTATAGATTATGAGTGTCTCCCAGTAAACGCAATCACAAAAAATAAGAAACAATACAATAACAAAACAAAACAATAACTATCCCGAAACACTAACCAAAAACATAACGATACAAAAAATATAAACCATCCCAAAACAAATTACATTCATGGCTCCTTCAACTACTTTGACTCCCTTTATTCATAAGCCTCCCATCATCAAGACACACTAACAGCTTGGGATTCCTCTGAGGAGATAACAAAGCTTGTTTTCTTAAGCTAACGAACTAAAGCAACCTTTTGTTTCTCGTGATAACGGGTTGATTATCTTGTTCTCGCAAGATAAAATAATCAACTTGTGATCTCGACATAACAATATTAAAAAAATAACGGGGAGGACAGCCGTTCTTGGCTTCCCTACAACTGTCAGTAAGATAAATGCTGATTAAAAAATACATCCAGAAACAAACTTGAGTGAATCAGTGTTCCCACCTCCAGCTGCTTTGCCCTCTGCTCCAACTGTCTCTCTGTGATTTTCGACTCCTGGATTGCCTGACTCAGCTGATCCACCTTATTGTTCAGCTCCTGCACCTTTCCTCTCAGCTGATCTCTGTCCTGGCTCAGCTCCTTCAGCTGCACCTTCGCTGCTCCTCTCTCCTCCTCTGCTTCGACCCTCTTCTGACCCAGCAAAGCACTGCTCTGTGACACAGGACAGAAAAATAAATGATAAAACTCTGGTTTGACTTTTGGAAATAAAGAGAAATAGTAAAATGAATGGTGCTTTGATACCTCTTTTGCCAGGTCTAAATCTTTAAGCAGCTTCTCAAACTCATTTTCATATTCCTCCTTCAGAGCTGCCATGTACGAATCATGAGTCTCCACCTCCTCTTTGAGCGCCCCCTTCAGGGCGCTGAGCTCCCTCTCCCTGCGGTGCAGCACCTCCTCCTGCTCCTCCTTCACCTGAAGCATCTCCTGAAAGTCCGCACGAAGCCGCACCATTTCCTGACAAACATCCATCAAAATACTATGTCACTACCTCGAGTCCAGGAAAGGAGCTTTACAGCTGCTGTCGATCTGTGAAGTGTATCTTGGTCATGTGGTTTCATTTACCTCCAGAAGAACTTCTTTCTCTGTATTTATCACCTCGGCCCTCTTGGCCTGGTCCAGCTCGTCATGCATCTCGGAGAGCTGCTGCTGAAGGTCTTTCATCTCTGTCTTAGACCTATCCCTCTCTGCCTTCATCTGAGTCAGCCTGACATCATACAAAAATATGCAGGAATGACAGACGACAGACAGAATTTAGTTTAGTATAAAGCAAGGGAAGAAGCCTGCTTTGACATTTTAAAAATATGTTTGATGGAACTAGATAACAAGAAAGAGTATCTGCTGCACACTTAATCCAAATGGTATTTGACCCCGCTTTCGGTCAAATGACCTTCATCAGATCATACATCACAGTTCACTTGAATGACCTGAGAGTATGAGCAGGAGCTTAGGTAAAGAAAAAGGAGCACAGCATGAAGTTCATGGCTATTTAGTTCTGCATTTCAAAACCGTTTTGTCTGCTTTCAATGGAAAACATTTAACTTTGTTTGATGGACTTTGGTTTGTAACATCTACAGGAATAATTTAGAGGAATTTGTTTTTTCTTATCGAAAGTTGGGACCCTGACACACCAAACCAACCATCAATGTCGAGCCGTCCGTCTGTCACCCTAATCTTTGCAGTGTGTCCTGCACTGTTGGCACTAGTCAGCCCTTGTCTGATGTTTATTGGTCGATTTAGCACGTTCAGTCGGTGTCGAAGACAGTGGAGCCCATTCGTGAGTGAAATCACTCTGATTGGTAGTTCAGCGCAGCGCCCAAGAAGAGAAATGAAAGTGAGGAAAGTAAACAAACGACTAAAGTCAAAAGGGCATGAGATCTAAAAAACAAACTTGTTACATAAGTTGGATTTCTTTTTTTGCCCTTGAGCTCTTTAACAGAAACAATTAGCACCTAGCAACAACTAGCTCGTGGTAAATGTCATTTGTTCTTTCAACATTGTGCTAACTGGCTAACTAGCGCCTCAAATCTGTCCTGTCGGCCTTCTGGTTTCCCTCTGAATGACGAATACAAACTACCGCTGCCTGCTGGTATGGAGAGTTATTTCCTCTGACACAGCCGCAGAACATACGTGCAATTTGGCCTTCGACTATAGTCTCTATGATGTGCTCAAGTGCAACATTTTGGCTGAGACACAGTCAACATGAGGAGATGCATTAGTCTGCCTTCATCGCCACTAGTTGTGAGTTTGATGTGTCTGGGCCTTTAGATAAAAAGTTCAGATACCACTCTCGTTTCTGTACGATGAAAAAGAGGCTACAGCTAGCAGCTGGTTAGCTTAGTTTGGCATGAAGGCTAGGCACAGTGACTCTGTCCAGAGGTCACAAAATCAACCTGTCATCTGAAGCCAACTTATTTACACGTTACACCTCGTAGAAACAATGAGTTCAAAACAATGTGCTGCACTATTTCTTGGCAGCTTAGCAGCAACTTCCAGAAGCCAAGGAAAAGCTAGTCAATAGCAGGCTGGTCGTTTCCTTCTGTTTCCAGTTATTAATGGAAATTTGACGGGGGTTGAGGGAGGGGAGGGGTGTTAAAATGTGATGGTTTTCTTTATGACAGCCCTCATTTAGCAGAAAAGATCTGGACATTTTTATATAGCATAATTTCATTATAGTCTTTGCTGAGTGACTCTGAGGTCAGATTCTTACTCCTGTTTGGTAGAATGAAGTTCAGCCTCGATCTCGGCCAGTCTGTCGCTGAGTTTGCAGAGCTCTTCCTGACTTTTAGCCAACTCTTCCTGCAGTTTCTTCTTCTCTGTCCTGGCCTTTTCACAAGCCTTGGCTAGAGTCTTTTCATTCTGCACAACAGAAAACAACATCATCAGTCACAGGAATAGGAAGTGAGTGTTTAAGACGTGAATCAGCAGGATGGGGCTGCACTACACCTTAATCTCTGTTTCCAGTTTTTGCTTTAATTCAGACACTTCTCTCTCCAGCGCGGCCTGTTTCTGCTGCAAAAGCCTCACCTCAGCTGCGTTATCCTACATGTGAGAAAAGGGAGACGCCCAACATCACCGTTTCAGACAAAGACATTAAATCACGCTGTACAGTGATCTACACTTGCAAACATCTCATCCCAACACACACTTTCTCCTCCACCACATTTTCAGCAGTCTTCCACTTGACCTGGTTGACCTTTTCAAGCAGCAGGGTGACTTTCTTCTGAGTGGTGGAGTCATCATCACTTGTCCTGAGAGGCGAGAGGAATATTTCACAAACACTCCAGTACTAACAGGGTGCAATGATAAAATCAAATTTAGTCAGTTGCTAAACAAAGACATGGCAGTGCAGGACCTCTCAGCGGTGTGAAAGGAAAAGGTGTAACTGTTTTCACACAAAACTGCTTTAGGTACACAATGTTTTTTAAAACAAGAGCTCTACTTCAGCACATTTAAAAAAAAAAGGCCAGTGATGGATCGTAAAACTTTCCATGTGAAGAAGTTATTTTATCAGTGGAAACAAGTACATGCTCTGCATTCCTGACTGCTGCGTGAGCACACACAGCTGGAGCGGCACCCCCTTATCTCACTGCACTACATGATCACAACCACGAGTTAATCACCCAAAGGTGACTGTAGGGTTAAACAAACAAAAAAAGACAATGTAAAAGAGGAACTTCAGATGCAAGCTTATTCATTAGGCTGTTTTAAAGGAAAAGACAGTTTGTGAAATATGGATGTGCGTTCCTGCTGAATTTGAGATACAAAGATTGATACCTCTCTCATATCTGCACATTAAATATGAAGCTACAGCTGTTTAGATCAGCTTAACATAAAGGCTGCCGCTGGACACAGGGGGAACCGGCTAGCCTAGCTCTGTCCAAAGGGAACAAAAAATATGCCTACCAGCACCTCTAAAGCTCACTAATAAGATGTTAAGTCTCTTCAGTTTGACTCCAGATAGTTACTGCGTCTATACAAGAAGAAGTCCAGAACGTAACCCCCTGTAAAATGGCAGCTTGTCATTTCTACCCCTCGTTTAAATCCGAATTAAACAAAAGAAATTGAACATCTTAACTAATAAGCTTTAGAGGGGCTGGTAGGTGTGTTGAGCAACCTTTCATCTTTTTAAAAATCTAATTTTATTGCATTTTAACCGATTTTATCTAGGTTTTTGTTAAAGGTCCAATGAATAGGATTTAGGGTCATTTATTGGCAGGAATGGGATACAATCTTCCTAACTATGTTTTCATTAGCCTATAATCACCTTAAGAATCATTTTCGTGTTTTCGTTATCTTAGAATAAGTTGTTTATATCTACAGAAGAGTGGGTCCCCTTCCATGGAGTCTGCCATGTTGTTTCTACAGTAGCCCAGAACGGACAAACCAAACATTGGTTCTAGTAAGGGCCATTCCCGTATGCATTTTCGTGTAGTTCTCCTACATGCTTGGCACATGGGAGATGTTTCAGTTGGTTGAAATCTGCAGCCTCACTACTAGATGACTCCAAAGCCTTCACACTACATCTTTAAAACATGTTTATAATGTTGCATTAATGCATTGCTTGTGTAAAGCACTTTAATTTGCATCTGTGTTTAAAAAGTTGCAATACAAATAAAGTTGCCTTGCTTTTATGCAAAGCTAAGATAAGCTAGCTGCTGGATGTAGCTTCATATTTCAGGTACAGAGATGAGACTGGTCTCAGTCTTCTCATCTAACTCCCAGCAAGAAAGCAAAAAACATATTTTTCAAATTTAACTAACAGTCTTCAGGTGCGAGTGGCACTTACCCATCCTTGAGGTATGTGAACAGGATTTGTTTTGCCGTGTCTTCAGGTGGATCTACTGAGAGTTCTTGCTGTCCTTTCAGAAGATCAGGAGTGACCTGGTTAGGGAATATACAACTCATAAATACACCCTTTCAAATGACAACTGTGTCACGCCACGAATCTCTTTACCTGTGCGTCTCTTTCATCTGATTCATCAGTCTGTTCACTGCCTGATCTGGAGATGGAGGGTTTCTCTGTGCTGTGAAGTAGTCTCGCAGCCTGTGGAGACATCGTCTCTTTTCCCATGTGTCCTTTAAGCAGTGTGCTGGGCTTGTTCTCGTCCTTCGGCATAGAGGCTTCTCCGCCGAGGAGTCGGGCCCTGGCTGACCCCGGAGGATATATACCACATGTGGTCTCACCCCTGATGCCCTTCAGAGACGAGGCTCTGCTGGAGGAAGAGGAAGAGGATGAGGAGTCCGAGGTTCGACTACTGTCTACGCTGCGTGACCTTCGACACTGCTCTGGGTTCAATCGGTTCCTGGGGCCTCCTCTTCCCCTCCGCTGGCTGCTGTTGAACTGGCTTATGAGCTTCCCTACAGACATGAAGGGGTCTGAATCCACTGAATTTGGGGACCTCGCAGGGGCTTGTCTACCTGAGGGAGGTGTGTTGTTCTGGGCGACTTCACTCTGGTCTCCCTCTGGGCCCTCAGCGGGCAGAGGGATCCTGGGTTTGTTCACATTGACAGTCTCAGAAAGAGGGTTTGTGTTTAGCTGTGCAGGTCGAGAGACTGAAGCTGAAGGAAGAACTAAGTCCAGGTTATTACTTTCAGGGTCATAAGGTCTCAGAATCTCTGGGTGTTTCTGATAATGAAACAAGGGGGAGGTTGATGGAGAGTGTCTTTCATCCACAGACCTCCTCACTATGCCAGGATTGTACCCCGCCTGGTGAGTGATAACAGAGATGTCCCGGTGGTTCTCCTGACCAGAGCTGTTCAGAACTACATAGGGTTGACCTTTAATCCCCTGGATCTGCACCCTGACTCCAAACAAGTTGTCTTGGCTGCCTTTGGGACTGCGTGGCTGCATGTAGTTCCTCTGTATCCTGACGTCTGGAGAGCCGCTCAGCCTGTGAGACTCCATTGTGACTCAGAGCTGGTGAAAAAACAAACAGGCACGTTTAAAATGACACCCTGCATGGGAACTGAGACTGATGCATCGGGTTGGTGAAGCTGAGGCTGGTGTTTACACAACATTGGAGCAGGGTCAGAGCCACACTGGGACACAATGACAGATGTGCAGGGAGCTCCTCACACAGCTGCACTCAGCCAACATAAAGACAGAATAAATGGACACTGACAAGAGCCTGATATTGCTGTGCAATTGAAACAGCTCCTTCTGTGTGCTCATGACAGTGTTCTATTGTACAACTGCATGATGACTACAACTGGCCGGGGTCTCCGAGGTGTCGTCACCCACTTCATGGGATGACACTAGTGGAATTTTTTTTGTCCACAAATATGTCACTGTGAGGCCGAAGCACAAGAACACAAGAGGTGTTGTGCAGCAGACAAAATGGTATCTTCTTAACAGCATCGTTTAATTAATGACTTAACAGCTCATTTATAATTAGAGCTGCACAATTAATCAAAATATTATCGAAGTCGCAATATGGCCAAGTGCAATACTCAAATCGCAGGAGCTGAAATTTTTTGATAAAGGTAAAATGTGTCACAACATACCATTATAAATCAAGTATTGTGATGCTACAGAAATGCCCAGGCCTATAAATCATAAGGAAACATGCTTGTTTGGTTCAGACCCCAGCAAAAATCACATCATCATCATTTTTATATTCTTCTTTACAGTGAAAATAAAATGCAAAAATTACCATTCCCACTGAAATCGGAACTCATATCTTCACAGTAATATCTGTCAAAGTACCATAAAACTTCAGTTAATAGCCTGGTCCCAATTAAACGCAGAGTCCCTTTTACTAGCCCAGTATAGCTACACATTTTGACAAATAAATGCCTGTCTCAATTAGACACCTGGTCTGGTTGCCAAGCAGCTTTATTTATAGCAGGTCCTCGGATGTATTAAAGTGGGTTGTTGGATACCTCAAATTATGTGTCCATTCCTCGATTACTCTGTAAGTTATTTATATTGCTTTAGTCTGTAAGGGTCCTTAGATCAAATGAATCAAAAGGGATTTTCATGAAAATTAATCCAAGTTGTGAGAAAGCCAGGTGCTGTAATCCTTGACAGCAGTAATTTACTCTCTCTCTGATGCGCTGTTTGTCGGAGCTAGATCAAATGAATGATTTATAGTTGATATATAATCTGAAGCCTCACTTTTATCCAAGTAATATTCATACTTGTTTAAATAAACAATTTAATTGTATTTCCCATCTTTCTTGAGAAGAGTTTTGTATCAAAGGAATTAAAGGCCTGTCCCATATAGATGCCTATGCCTCATATAGACCTGTTTATTTCAGCGATTTGAGCAAATAATAGCCCGGGCTATTAACCGAAGTCTTTCGGCAATTGCAATCATGCATCCTATTTTTAATAATAGGTAAGTTCAGTAAATAATATTGGAACCACTTTCCAAAAGTTTCTTTACAAGTTGGTCTGTGATTGTTTTACTAATAGTTAATATATTATTTACAAATGCTTTACAGATCAGTTGTAAGCTATCAACATGAACAACTTTTGGGCTGCCAGGTTGTGGAAATCCCCCTCCAATATGACTCTTGCTTTGTCCTTGAAACGAACTCTTAAATTCATCGGAAAGTCCCCTCAAATGGACCGTTTGACCACCAAAATGTACATACATTTTTAACATAGGCTACTCTGACAACAGTAGCACAGTAGGGCCGGTCAGTATGAGACAAGACATCATCTGCTGCATTACAATAAAGTGATTTAATTTTCTGAACTTACCAGACTGCTGTAGATGTTCTAATATTTACTTTTAACCACTTAGTCACTATATCCACATTAATGATGATTACTTATCAGAAATCTCATTGTGTAAAAGCTCCACTAATCTACAGTCAATTTAAGAGCTGGCTTAAAGGACAAACTAAGTAGTCTGCACTAGAGGAGGATGTTTTACAACCTGGCAACCCCAATAATGTTCTTATTAATAACTTACAACTGTTTTATGAAACATTAGTAAATATTTATTGACCATGAATAACGCCACTAATACCAGCTAACAACCTCTGTATATAAAGTGAGCTTTATCAAAATAAGTAAACATATTAATCCAAATCAAGATCCCATATTTCAAAAATGTATTAAATTATTTTTTCTTCATTTTATTTTACTTCATCACACTTTTTTTTTAACTTAATCATCAACCTAAACTTGTAAAATTGACGTCTCGCTGTTCATGGAGAATCCCACTCAGGTGAAAATGCGGATCTGCGTTTATCCGGTTTGACTTGATCAACTTTACTTCACACTTTTAACGGTAAATAAAGTCTAACTGCGAAAACACACACAGGCACAACAAGAACACCTACATCAATCAGAAAGCCTATCCCTAAAAAACGTGATCTTTACAGGCTGCTGACAGATGAAGAAAGAAGATTAAAAAAACACCTCAAAGTGCATTAAGGTCCTTAAACTCACCGCTGAGCCGCAAACACACAACAAAACGCTGCAGAAACAATACCGTGTTACTATGTTGAGGAAACACGAGTTAGAGAGACACCGATCTGAGCTGAAACTTACCCGCTGTGTGTCCTGTCTGAGGGCTGAGTAGAGTCCTCTTCCTCCTCCTCCTCCTCCTCCTCCTCTGTACGCTCAGACTGCCCTGCCTCCTGGACCCGCTCAGAGAGGCGTTCACTGCCTGCTCCGTGTCAGAGATTCAAAACATATGATCTGCTGCTGCAGTTAAGTGCCTCTTATTGAAGCCCAAAAAAAGAGACGCTGCGGGCTGGATTGGGAGGGTTACTTTTTAATCCACTACAGATTACTGAATACACGCCTTAAAAATTACTTAAACTAAGTTACATATTGTAAATACTTTGGATTACTTTTGGAATACTTCCTGTCCACACTATATCCGTAAATATGCACCTCTGTCATGTAGATAAACCAAGGTATAAAACAAAACAAATAAAGCAATCCCTTAATCTATTGTAAAGACAGTAACTGTGTTCAGAATACCACAATTTAACTGCAATTGTAACAAAATACAGTAACTCACATTTTGTACTTTAAAGGCGCAATTTAGCTACCTGTATTCAATTACTCCCCAACCCTGCCTGTAAGTCACTATAATGAGAAACTTTCTAAAAACAAATGACTAAGTCTACTTCTCTCTAAATAATAATAATGAGGAACTCTTTAAAAATAATGACTTAGTATTGTCTTTCATTATTCTAAGAGTCAATATTTTGAGATTCTACTTGAGGAAGTTCTGCATCATGATGACTCACAGGATCTTACATCACATTGGCGGAAATGGGCTTCCATAGGAAAAATATATTTATTCAAAGTAATAATGAACAGAAGAATAAGACCATTTATCACACCATAATATTTTGTAAATGAGTGTGTGTCATGGGAAATATGACTAACAAAGACTTTTAGAGGGATGAAGGAGGTTAAAAGTTCCCGTATCAGTTTGTGGACACCTGGACTGGGCATGTTTGTTAAGCTACAGTAGTCTATAGACACATTTTTGTGATTAAACCAAGAGGGAAAAGTTTGTCACTGACCCTGCAAATTGGCCCCTCATATGTTTTTATTGAACGACACCTCAGAGAAAAGAGGCTGTAGTCATTGTGTGACATACTTCCAGTTTCTGTTGGATGTCTTTATTGGTAAAACAGTGTTTATGAGGGGACTTTTCTGCCCCTGCATCAAGTTGCATCTTTGAATGATGACCTTGATTGTGTTTTCTGATTTGGCTTCTGATTTCCCTCTGCAGTATGTGAACGTCCTTCTGGTGACAGAAGAGAGCTAACAAGAGACAAAGGGAGAGAAGGGGATCACCCAGAGTCAAACCTGGAATGTTATGATTATATGGTCAGACCCTTAAACCTCTAGGTAACTACAGGGTGACTGTGAATCTGGGTAATTTTTTAGAGATCATAATAGTGTAGCATATTAAGAGGGGAGTCTGGGCATCCTCCCCCAATAAATGTGAGTCAGACATTTAATTCCCTGCACTCTGTCATGCTACTTCCTGCTTTAATCATGCATATCTGCTTTAACTTCTTTCTGGGTTATGATCGCAGCGATTGCTTTAGAGGTTGCATACTTCCACCACCTTCCTTACCAGGTGTATTGTTGCACTGGAGTCCTGTTCTAGCAGTTGGTTTAAATTTAAGTCTTCTGCTACTTTTTATGTGGGGAGGAACAACATGCACATGCAGGAGGACATGTCCCCTGTGTGCCCCGCAAAATTTATGCCTGTGGTTTACCAGCACATTTGTGTTAACAGTTACTTTTTGCTGAATTGGATTGTAATGTTTGGTCTTTGCTTTCCTACAGCTTGGGATTAAATTTGTTAATACTACAATGTGTAATTTTCTGGTTTTATGATCAGTAACTTCCCACAATTTTGTGTCTTTGGAGCTTATGTTACATTTATAACTTTGATATCTTTGCTTTTTTAACTTTACTATTTCATTAACCATCTTAAATCACCCCACATTCATCTTGTGACCCTCTGGAGGGGCCAGACCCTGGATTAAACTACCAGACTGTATATAAAGTAGCTAAATCTACCGTAAAAATATAACAATAACTAACCATCCAAGAACGTACTGATCATTTATTAGTCACAGAGGCCAAGTACTTTTATTTTTGATTAATTGCATTTTGCAAATTATATTTATGTACTTTTCCTTAAGTAGCTACACTTTTGAATGCAGGACTTTTACTTTTAATGGAGCAGTTTTATTGGTACTTATTCAGACACTGCACTGTACTGTGTGTGTATAAAGTAGGTGTGTGTGCATGTGTTAAAATATATAATAAAACAAACAGACTCAAACTATTTGAAAAAAGACATTTATTGCTACATTATCGTTTCGACACATGCCTGTAGGCTACTTCAAACTGTACACATACTGTACATGTTATGATAGGAGTATTTCAGATTATTATTTATTATTTGTTCAGCAGTGTGAGAAGCAAACAAGACATCAATTCATCTGTAATACTGTATTGCTCAGAGCATGAAATGTGGCTACGTCTAGTAAAACTGCACAAAAATTGGGTTTTCTTGTGTAAAAGTAAATAGAGACATTATGGAATTCACAATATTTGTATAAAAGATAAGTTACATAACTTAGAAAAAAAATCAAATGTTCTATTAAAAACTCAAACATGCAAAGAGCTTCGACTACGTCTGAAGAGCGATAATCACACTGAGGAGAGGAGGGATTCAGTCCAGCAGTGTATCAGTAAGTGTAATCCTCTTAACAGTGCTATAACACAAATATACAAATAACAGATGATGTCCACGTGCTACAGAACATTCTCGGAGATCTGCTCATTCACAGAATGGTTAAACTCCTGCAACACTCTCACACACAACAGCTCACACACTCACACACGCTCTACAGGACAAATGAAATCTGTTGTCTAAACACACACACGTGGGAATGTCGGTCCTCTGAGCTCAGTGGAAGTCGTATACGTGGTAAATAATGATACACTGGAAAAGTCAGAAACATAACTTGCTCTGCCGAAAAATCAAAAACTGCAGATGACTCTTCGTCACTACCTGGTTTCATCTTTTCAGATATACTCAACAGACAGATAATCAATAAATATACAAAATATGTACAAAACATCTGCAGTTTACAATGCATTTGTCTCTTACAAGTAAAGTTTAGGCACAAAGTTCGAAGTCCGTTTTGGGACGCAAGGAGATGATTGTTCAACCAAGAGGTCGACTCTCTCCGCTCTGTCCGAATGTAGGAGGAACGCTGGACGCCCAAAACAGCTGGATGCTTCCTGGGATGCTCTTCACTCAACATCTGGACACCAAAGACACAGAGATAATGGCAAAATGAGACCTAAAATATAAATATTACGAATGATTTTTTGAAGAATTCTTTCCCAATATGGTTTGGTAACATTAACATTTTGTCAACAATGCTATTCTTTAAATTGCTTGCATTACAAATGTTTAACTGTATAACTGTAACTGCAAAAGAAAACGTTAACTACTTGATGCTGGATTTGATGCAGGTACGATCAGATGCTCAGAGGTGGCCCATGGGGTTTCCTGGGTCTGTCAGACTGGGATGGAAAGCGAGATGCATGGACTGTGGATCCGTCATGACTGCAGACGCCTTCTCTTCCTCTCTCCTACGCAGACACGCTGCCTTCGGGTTCAGGTTCCTCTCTGTGGGATTCAACAAACAATGGGTCAGCGTCTGACTAAATAAAGAAGCTGAAGATGTGTGGTAGTACGTGGATGTTACTCATTTCCATTAGCTGTGTAATGCAACATTCAGTACTGTAGTTCTGGGGAAACAGCATATCACCACTAATTGCTGTTGCAACATATGTGCACTGCTGTCACAGTGGTGCTCTAATCAGTATATTTAACAGTCAGATTGACTACATGTATTGTAACAGTCACTCATAGTGAGATAATTTCCACTGGTTCGTCTCAGCTCATGTGGAGCATTTTAGCATCTTTCTGCTCGTTGTTTTGATTCTACAGCTCTAAAATGTTTTGGTTGACTCTCTCAGCTCTCATCAGTGTAATTTTTGGCCTCAGCAGGGTCAGACTAAACCAGATTATTATCCTGGAGACTATGGTTCGCTAGTAAGTCCATCCTGATGAAACAGTCTGTTTCACTCCCTGTATCAGTCTGGACTCACTGCTGCCCAAAACACTTTCAGTGCTCGCCTTGACAGACAATCTCCTTCAGCCAGTCAACTTAACGGAACACCGGGGAACATCTTCTTCATCACCAACAGAGCCAGATGAAAAACTCCACAAGTGCTTGCTCTTGTTGAATTGTTGTTATTGACTCTAGTTCTGCAGTAACTTCACTTCACAATTGTTGTGTTTACTGTACTATTTAGAGTTAGCACTTTTGGCTTCGGGAGCCGCCATTACTGTTCTGCAAGCTGCCGCGTGCATTTTATGTCATCAGCTAAAACACAAACCCTGACTGGCTGCTTTGTCAACTATGGTGCGGATCTCTGATTGGCCTCTATTGGATTTTAATTTCTGAAAAGCATTTCGGGCGGCAGCGAGTCCAGACTAAAGACATGAAGGGGTGTGAAAAATTGTCAGTATCTGGGAATGAGAACAGGTTAAAACAGCAGTGGAGCCTTTAGCCGCTAAAGATATTTCCATCAGACCTGAAAAGAGTGTCAGTATTGGACTTACATTCGTCAAGATGCCAGAAATATGATTGCAAATAAATGATCATGTAGCTCCATGTCTACTGAGTGTGTAAAAACTCTACTGTGTTGCCTCCCAAGCTAAAATGTGGGTAAGCAGATGTGACGTGAGACATCTCACTCTTGATAACCTATGGCACCTTCAGATGTAGGTTTCTATCTTATCTTCACTCTCTCCTTCACTTATCTGACTTGACAGAAAGACAAGGCTCCATCTCAGCGACACACTGACCTCTGACTTGTTGCTCCAGGCTGAGGATCACGGCCACGGCCTGGTGCAGCACCAGCAGCTTGGTCTGCGGCTTCTCGCTCTTCAGGTGCAGCTGACACATGTGACCCAACT